TTGCTGATATGGCTAGGAGCCGACCTCAGTGGCGTTCGTGCTGTGAGTTTCTTTGTCCCACCCCATCCCTCTTAGCCTCCCCCTCCAACCACGATCTCATTATTTAGCCTTATATAATTTTGCATAGTAATTTTTTTGGGTGCACAGCAGCCGGCTGGTAGCTTACCGGAACGATGCCCATCCGTTACCGGTAGCTCAGCCGGCTTGCACCAGTTGCATTTTTTTCTCCTTTTTTCTATGTATTGCGGCACAGTAGCTGAGGTGTTCCTCACCTCTAGCTAACGTGTAGTATGTGATGATGATGATGATGATGATGGCAACGGAGAAATTGTCTCAGTCCTAGGTCAAGCAAGCCTATCAAGAAGCGCTGCGTACCGAACTTCCGCTGTCTTGTCCTAATTACACTGAGCTTCAGTGGAATAGGATCTCGGCCGCCATGCACGACGCAAGAGCATCTGCTTGTGGCACTATCCATCGTCACCGCACCAGTCACTGGTTATCCGAGAGGTCGGTGAACCTGTTGGAATCTAGAAGACACCTCCCGGCTGGCTCTGAACACAATGTGACCAGACGGGCTATTAGGCGTGAACTAAAGCGGAGCCTACGTGCTGACAAGGAAGCCTGGTGGACCAGTCGGGCTCAAGAAATGGAGGAGGCAGGAGCAGTAGGCAATTACTGGAAGCTCTTCCAGCTAATCCGCACCACTGGTCCCAGGAAACCAGGCGTCAGTGAGACAATAAGAGACAGCGCGGGTGCGCTGGTACACAATAAGGAGCGCCGTATGGCTCGTTGGGCGGAACACTTTCAAGATCAGTTCAGCTGTCCCCCTGCTCCCGGACATCTTCCTACTCAGGTGATGCAGGACGAGCCATGGACGGTTAGTTTAGAGCCTCCGTCAGAGGCCGAAGTCCGAAACGCGATCACAGCCCTCCCTGGTTTTCTTGCCGCTGGCCCGGATTCCCTCCCACCTGCACTATTTAAGGATGGAGATGAGGTCCTTTGCAAAGCACTGACCTCCGTATTCGAATGTATGTGGAGGGAAGAGAATGTCCCGGCTAACTGGAGCGAATCGATTATAGTGGCAATGTACAAGAAGGGCAGTCGCACAGGCTGTTCTAACCACAGGGGGTATTAGCGTAACGCCAGTTGTGACAGAATCACTGGCCTCGATTATCGTTCGTCGCCTCACTGCGGAACGGGAATCTCGGTTTAGGGAAGAGCAGGCCGGTTTCCGCGCAGGACGTTGCTGTATAGACCATATATTCACTTTGCGGCAGGTGCTAGAGCAGCGCCACGCATACCGCAGACCGACAATAGCTGTGTTCCTCGATTGCAAGTGTGCGTTCGATTCAGTCGATCGATGCATTCTGTTCGAAATACTTGCACGGAAAGGCGTTCCCACGAAATATGTGAACACCCTTCGTGTTCTGTACTGGGACACTACAGGGCGCGTCAGAGTCTACGGTGTCCTATCGGATAGCTTTCCGACCACAAGTGGCGTTCGTCAGGGTTGTCCGATTTCCCCATTTTTGTTCAATTTCGTCGTGGATTCTATCATGGAGTGTTCCCTTGCGGAATCTCACAATGTAGGCGTTGAGGTGCTGCCTGGTGAAAGGTTAGTTGATCTAGATTATGCGGACGATATCGTCTTGCTTTTCGACGATGTTGGGGCGGCACAATCAACCCTGAATAGCCTGTCCAGAGTGGTCCCGTTATTTGGTATGCACTTCGCACCTTCCAAGTGCAAAGTGTTGCTGCAGGACCACCAGCCACTTGATGACCCGTTGACGCTTGCTAACGAGGAACTCGAGGTGGTTGATCATTTCACTTATCTTGGCAGCTGCATCAGCAATGATGGGCGCATAGAAACTGACGTCAGCACACGCATTGCAAAAGCCAGAGCTACCTTCTTGAACCTGCGGCATCTTTGGCGACAGAAGGGAGTTTCCCTCCGTCTGAAAGGCCGTGTATACCAGGCCACAGTGAGGGCCGTTCTGCTCTATAGTAGTGAGACTTGGCCCCTTCGGTCTGAAGATCTGAGGCGCCTTCAAGTCTTTGATCATCGTTGTCTGCGAAGCAATGCTGGAGTCGGATGGCACCAGCGTGTCCGCAACGATGATGTGCGTAGGCGAGTACTAGGAAGTGATAATCATGCTAGCTCCCTAGAACAACAGATAGCACTGAATAAGTTGCGTTGGCTCGGGCACGTGCTACGTATGCCTGGTTACCGCTTACCTAGGAGGGCCTTGTTTAGTGTGCCAGGTGTAGGGTGGCGCAAGGCTCGAGGTGGGCAGAAGTTGACTTGGCAGCGGGAAATGAAGTCACTGACGACCAAACTGGGTGCCGTTGGTCCGTCTCGCCTTCCTGGCTGGAGTCCACGTGACTCGCCTTGTGCTTGGCTCGAGACTTTACAGGACATGGCTCGCAGTAGACACCAGTGGCGCGTCTGCTGCCGTCTCCTGATCGGATTGCCTGTTTAAAGTGTGTTTGGTGCTGAGTTATCTGCAGGGTAATGGCTGATTATGACGCGTGGCAGTGAAAGCCGCAAGGAAGCTGTCTCGCCGATGCCGCCTTATCTTTGCACGGTAGCCAGCTGTTTATGAAGGTATGTTGACTACACAAAGTGTAGGCGCCTTGACTGTGAATGTATGCTTAGGTCATTAAGGTTTTCAGGTAAGTCCCTCTTCTCTCCCTCTTATTATTCTCTATTCCATAGGTCATCTTGGTTGTATGGCAGCGAAGCATCAGTTCAAATGGCTGATGTACTGCTGTTGTTGTGGACTCCTGGGCCTCGGAATGCGTTCCACACCGTCAAGTACAAGGTCATGCAAATCGGACAATTTGCGAGCACTTCGTACACTATTGTCGTGCGTCTTAACGCCACGTCTGATGAACGCAACCTAGGCACTATTATATCCCCGGACCTGAGCCCGAACGCTGAGGTAGCCACATTGGCGAGAAAGACCAGCGTGCGCCTGGGCCTCCTTGGTAATGCATTAGGTTCAGTATCTAGCGAAATATTTGTCCGCTTCTAGAGCACCTTGGTACGCCCGCTGTTGGAATACCATATACTGGTCCAACCGCCGTATCTGAAGAAAGACGAGGCCATGCTGGAAACCGTCCACCGCAGAGCCACTAAGAGAGTGGAAGGACTATCCCGCATTTCGTACGAAGAGCGCCTTATGGCCCTTAAACTCTTACTACTGAAATATCGTAGGCTTCGTGGTGATCTCATCCTAGCCTATTCTATCCTGACTAACAACAGGCACCCTAATACCGACTTACTCGTTCGCGCCCGCACAGACCATCTAAGAGGGCACTCGCTCAAACTCATGACTCGCAGTAGTCGGCTTCAGTGCCGAAGAACCAGCTTTAGTGTGCGTATCGCCTTCGTCTGGAACGCCCAGCACATAATACAGAGGTTTTCAAATGACGCCTAAATGCTTGTCTCTTGTCTTGCTGGCCTTTCATGTTGAAAGACTTGAGCCATTCGCTAAGCTAGCTGGTAGGGTCGCTACTTTTGACACACTAGCTCGCGACACTCCTCTTCTTTAGCTCTTATTTAACTCTACTGAACGGTCCCCCTGTCTGACACCCTTATGTCCACCTACTGCCACGTTTATGCCCTTGCAAAGCAATGACACTGCCAACGTCGGCCGTTTACCTGCCGGCCGTTTACCTTCCAGCTAGCCACATCCCCGCAATCAAGACACTGAATACCTGTGCCCCACATCACTGCCGAGTCGCAATCTACAACACTTGGAACCTATCGAGAACAACAGGACCCTGCCTTAAGACCTCGGGGCAGAAACACCGAAATGCAAAGCCTGCTCCTTCTGCACAAACCCATGAAACCCTCTTTTTCTTTTTGCTCCTCTCTCAACTCTCTTCCTCATCTGTTAAGCAAGTGACTGCCACTGACCTTGTAGCTGCTACCATTGGCACAAGCTGGTCGTCCATCAAACCTATAGTCTCATTTCACATTGCTTCTTTAAATGTCCGCATAGTAAAAGTGAACCACCCGGCACCGTTATATCATGCACCAAGCTCTAGTGGCTGGATCATGTGTTACGCATGCGAACCCACTGACTTCTGCGACGTGCGTTGTGTTCACACCGGGGGTGTGAATGGAAGAAGAGGTGTGGCCAAGCGATGACTTAGTCAAGAGAAGCCAAATCCCCCACTCAGAAGTTGGCGTCGGATGGTGTGTCCTGATTGCTGGGCTGGGGTCCGAACTACAATGAACACGTTTGGTTGGATACACTAGTTGACGTGACAAGGAGTGGACCACATTGGTGTTTGTGTTGTGTTTCTTTGTCCCTCCGCATCCCGTCTTTCTTGCTTTCCAATCTCGATCTCCCTCTTGACGCTTAATGTTTTACTAACTATTCTGTTGCCTGTTCTTAGCACTCTGTACTTTTCAGCATCTTGCTTTTTTGTTTATCTTTATCTATTGCGGTACAATAGTTGAAGCGTTTCTGATCTTCAGCTCATGTGTACTGATGATGGGGATGAAGACACCAATAACTGCCTCGCTCCGTCCTCCTGACGGGCACGAGCAATGTCACACAGATGCCATTAGTTTAAGATGATTGTTTTCCTAATGTGTTTTGTGCGTATTAATCTCGCCGCTTATACATACTGTGCTGCAGGTAGCGTTGTTTATGACATGCTTACATCCAAACGTATTCATTTCGAATGTTCAGAAGAACACAACCTAATAATCTTTGCTTTCATTCCATGGGTCGGTGATTGTCTGTCTTTGCTTGTTGCTGTATTCAAGGTAATGAGACCTTTAATTTCGCTGTGTGAACACGACTCAACTTATTGTGTGTGCACTAGACTAGCTCACTTTGCAACTTGTACATCCATTTTAACCAATCGTATATAAGTTACGTTATATTGTATTAGCATACTCCTCAACTTTGAGTAACAACTTAACCACCACATCCGTGTCTGTCGAGTTTTTTCCTCCTGTTTGTTATCTGATTCCTTATTCAGACAACCTCAGTGCCAATCGATTGATATGACTACTGCAAACGGAGAAGCTCTTGAGGAGGGTGAGGTGAGCGATAGGTTTTCTAAACTGGCTTCTGTCGATTTGAGCAACGAGTAAGCTTCTTTCCTCAGCGTTCACATACATTTTGTTCTCAAGTGCGGATGACCAGGAGACAACAGATGATGCAAAGAAACGCAAAAAACACCGGAGCCACAAAAAGCACAAAAAGAAAGAGAAAAAATCACGCAAAGAGAAGAAAACTAAAAAAGAGAAAAAACATAGGAAGCACAAAAAACACAAGGACAAGCATAGGTAAACTAACGGTCCCCTAACTTTGGCTACTTTTAGATTAAAAACTGAACATGTGGATTTGGAGTCGCCTCCTACAAAGAAATTGAAAACGTCCGATGTATTAGACACTGCACCGATCGCAATTAAATTGGAAGAATCTAAGCAGCCCTTGCAACCTAAATACGTTGATCCTTCGCCCCCGGGTGCTGTAAAAAATGACGCACATTCTCCCACCACCTTATCCGCTGCTACTGCTGTTACAACTTCTCCTGCAGTTCAGAAAGCAAACAACCAACACCAAAATAACGAGAAAAAAGGGCCAATCTCTTTGGAGGAGTTAATCGCCAAAAGGAAATTAGCAGAGGCGGAGCAAGTCAAACCGAAATTCATTTCTAAGGAACAACGTGTTGCAGAGGCGTTGAAGCGCAGAGAGGAGCAGGTGCAAGCACAGCGTGAGAAACAACAAGAAGAGTTGAAAAAGCAGGCTGAATATTTACAGAAGGCCAAAGGTTAGCACACTTTATTCCATTTTTGTACTCGGTTTTAGAACAGGAAAGATCTAGGCGTTCCGCTCAGTTTGCGCAGAGAGAACATCGAAGAGTGAGAGGAAGAGATTATTTGCCAGACAGAGAGTCTTCTTCCAATCCCTCAAGAACATCTGAGACTACTGAGGCCCAAGAGTTGGAAGCCATCAAAGAGCGATACCTTGGGCAGAAACGATTGACCAAGCGACGACAACGTCGTCTAAATGAGCGCAAATTTGTTTTTGATTGGGATGCTAACGAGGATACGAGTCAAGATTACAACCCCTTGTACAAAGAAAAACACCAAATACAGTTTTTTGGCCGCGGACATATCGGTGGCATAGACATAAAGGTTGGCGTTGTCTTCCTTAGCATTTCTCGGTTTTTGCAGCAACAGAAAAAAGAAACTGGGCGTTTCTACTCCAGGCTGATGGAGGAGCGGAGATCCGAACCACAAAGAGCCCAAGAAGTGTAAGTATATATGTTTTACTTACTTTGTTGTCATGCAACAGAAAGCGCCTGGACACCGTGGCTAAGCGTGAGGCCAAGCAGAAGTGGGATGACAGGCACTGGTCTGAGAAGGCGCTCGAACAGATGACTGAACGCGATTGGCGAATATTTCGGGAGGATTACGGTATAGCTACGAAGGGTGGAAATATTCCTAATCCAATTCGATCATGGAACGAGATGAACACAAGCAGTGAACTACGTGACGTGATCTTTAAAGTATGCTTCCTTTCCTCATTCGCGTTCCCGTCTCATCTGTCCACTATAGATCGGTTACGGTGAACCGACTCCCATTCAGAGACAAGCTATTCCTATCGGGCTTCAAAATCGTGATATTATTGGTGTAGCGGAGACTGGTTCTGGTAAAACGGCGGCCTTCCTGATTCCACTCTTGAATTGGATTCAAAGCTTACCTAAACTGGAGCGCATGGAGGTCCGTTGTGTTTTGCTACCTCCACTCGCTTTATACAGGACACGGAACAGGGTCCTTATGCAATAATCATGGCGCCGACGCGCGAACTTGCGCAGCAGATCGAGGAAGAGACGGTTAAGTTTGGCCGACCTTTGGGTATCAAAACGGTCTCATTAATCGGAGGACTGTCGAGAGAGGACCAAGCGTTGAAACTCCGAATGGGAGCCGAGATAGTCATTGCAACACCTGGCAGGTTGAACGACGTACTGGAGAACCGGTACATGGTGTTGAACCAGTGTACGTACGTGGTGTTGGATGAGGTGAGTCAAGTGAATACATAACCATCCCCACTACCGGTCCTAATGGTGCAGTATGTGACGTGTTAGTGAGCACAGCCTGCCTGGCTGTCTAATCATATACCGATAATGAACTCTTTTGCGGACTAAGGTTCACCTGATATTTAGAATTCCTTCTCTGTCAAAACTTTTTAACACTAAAAAGACCGCTCCGCCGTTATACCTAGAACGCCCGGGACCGGTCAAAATGACCGCACTGCTATATTTTTTTAATTCCAACTTTTAGTTAAGAATTTTTTCACGGCATTTATTAAAAACTAATGTATAGAACATACCTGTAACAGAAAAATGCTTGTATTAAGGTTTAGTTTTTTTTTTCAAAAATTGTAAACAATTCCGTATACCTACTCCAATTTGCACTTGAAGCAAGTGATAACTCGCTCAATCTGTCCACATGAGCCGCAAACTATTTTTTTCACAAACAGAGCACTTGTTTTGTGATTTGTCACCTTTACAGTAACCAATCTGACATTGCCGACGTTTAATGTTCACACGACTTCCCGACTCCGCTGAGTTGTTCGTCGTAATTCCCGTTGTCACGTACCTTGTGTGATGTATACATGTAAGCAGTTCTTCCGAAAGACCCTCCAGATACGACCGGCGAGATATTTTAGTCCACCAGCTGAGCTGCGCACCAGTTGTGCTGATGACCACGAATCTGCAGGTCGCTTGGACAAAGTGAAAACGATGCTGTATCAGCTGATGCAGGACGCGACCACTTTTCGCATTAGGAGAGCGTGACAGTCCTTTGCTTTTTGAGGTAAGCCAAGAGACTGAATACGTGAATAATCGGTCCGGCTCAGCTTCAGTATATCTGATAAACTGAACAAGCTTTATTTTCTATTTTGGTCGCGAAATGGTGTGTGACGAGTCAGGGGAACGATCGAGGTTATGAAAAGCGGCGGTATCTTATATGGTTTAAAGGACGAGAACCAACGCACTCCTGTCACCTTAATGGAGCCTTTGCACAGGTTGTACGGAGGAACGCATGCCCTTTATCGGTGAGGGAAGTTTGTGGCATGCGTTCCACGTCTTCTCTATTGCAAGCAGACGATCTTGGAGGAGGCGCGATTTCCCAGATTTGAGAAAGGTCATGATTTACCTTGTGCAGGAAAACCTTGTATCCTTCTGCTGCTCCCTGTTGGCCACTGAAAAACCTAGGGCACTTGCTTGTTGTGGTGTCGCGCACAATTCACCGCCACTTACTCCTGATTTGTTAATTTCCTTTACCGAAGACAGTGGCGGGCGTTCCAACCATTTGGACCCCGCATGGTCCCGATTCACTTGAAACCTGAAGCGGAGTAGCGCTTGCAGCGGATATCGAATCCCGATATGACCGAGGAAGCACATAGCCCATGCAGTTTGCTAACTGTATAAGTAAGGAAGCCCAACGGAAGATGCTATTATCATGCGTGTTTTAGAGAACTGAATAGGGTATTTTTGTATTAGTGTCTTCGATGATGGATTTCTTTGGTAGACCTAGGCGTCAGTGCTGTTGACGTCGTCAGACATGAGCTCGGGCTACTAATACAGGGTAATGTAGCCGAAAGACTGTAGAAAGGTGCCATTCAGAATCAGTGAGAGCTAACACCATCATCAGTCTACACACTAACTTACTGTTCGAACACCTCAGTTTCTGTACCACACTTTAACTAGAATAGGACTTCATACAAAATAACAAAACAGCAAAAAATATTGTGCCTTGTTTTTATTATGTTTCGAGAATGATATCATGGTTAGAGAAGTGAACTACGTTGGGATGGACAAAGAAGCTGAATTCAGCTTTTGGCCATGTCAACATGTGTCTCCAACGAAACGCGTTCATCGTTTTTCTGAACCCAACCCTGGAATCGAGAGGCATCAATCCAGGTCAAATTCGAAGTGACAGTCTTCTTTTCTCCACGTTACGGAGTGGGCCTATGTTGGTCATAGCTAAGCTCCGTAGAGATTTTGCTAACGCGGGGCACCAAAAGTACCATCCGCGAAATGAACCTTAAGTTTATCTATTTATTGGGCAGCACAGGATAGTTAACCAAGTTTCTCTAGGTGTTACACACCCTCAACTTGCTGCTGTATGACGTAGGAAGTTCACTTGGGTGATAAACCTAGGTTACTTTTAATCGTACACAGAACCCAGTGGGCGAACTGGAGTCCGCATATCATCGGAAAAGTTCTCACCGTAACTACATTTCGGGGGTGTGGATGTTAGAGTAATGCTCCCTCATTTGAGCTTCCTACAGACCTGAAACCGTGTTACAGGAGTAGTAGGCCACGAACACGAGCGAGACTGCAAGTGATCACCCGGGTGTAAATGCTCGAATCCACAGGCTCCATGTTACTTAACGCTGTGTTTCCTGTTTGAAACGTCTGCTTATATCTAAACAAACTCGCAGGAACGTATTGGGCAATCTGGACGAACAATCGTATGTGCAGCGATCGTCATTAGTCACATTCGTCCTTTACTCCCCCACACTGTTCATTTATCCAGTCGAATAACTTGGATTTACCTGCACACTTACCATAGTCAGAGTAAGAAGTCTGTTACACCAACCCATTGCAGGGGTGATTTTGAAGCACATGTTGAATTGTGTCACGCGATCTCAATGTGGACCTCAATTCACTTTGTAGTGAGCCCTGGTAATTTCGGCAACTTGAACCACATCTGAAGCACACGAATGTTTGATATTGAGGGTCATTTTGAAGTGCACGTTGTCTGGATAGGTTGCGACACGTAATCTCAATGTTGACCACGATTCCCATTGCTTCAGCTACGATCCTCGTGCTCGAAAGACCAAGGTTCACTTCGATGGGAATCGCGGTCAACATTGAGATTGCGTGTCGCAATCCATCCACACAACGTGTACTTCAAAATGACCCTCAACATCGTTCATTATACCGTTGTGCCAAGCGTTGCCCGTCGTGACCCGGTGGCTTAGGGGTAGCGGTCACAACTAACATCCCAATGGTCCCGGGTTCGATGCCTGCTATCTCTATCTGTAGAGATAACCTAACATCGAAACGCGTCATAGTAGTGCAGTGTTTTCGGGCAGGCAACACCTAATTTCTATCCGCTTCGCGTATGGTCCTCATGATCGAGAGACTATGGTTCAATTCAATGAGGATCGCAGTCAACATTGAGATTGCGTGTCGCTGTCCATCCACACGTGTTTTCGGGCGGGCAACGCCTAATTTCTATATTCACAGGAATGTTTGCTGTTGCCCTCTAAAAACCCTACAGGCTACTGATTGCATCGGAGTTCACTTGTTCATTAGGTTGGAACCCAGTGCTGTCCAGCCAGCGTTTGCTTCGAGTTCACCAATTCAACGAAGTGGCACCGAAGTCTGCACAGTAAACAAAGCCGTTAGGTTAAATGAACGAATAGTTCATTGCAAAGCCGATTGTACAGATTGGTCTCACCAAAACGCAGTCGACATCAATACATCCGGTCAGCTAAGGAATGTTACCTGAACTGGCAGCAGTTCAAACGGCGATGAGTGCCGTTCAAATCCGGAGCACTGCGAATGCAGTGTAGACAAAATGCACTGAATACCTGGATTCCCTATGTAGATGACGAAACTAACTACTTCGTGATAGTTTTACGATCGTATCACTTGCGAACGTGGAAATCATCTGGTTGCTTATTATTTTTTCGCGAATGGCAAACGGTGGTGTGGCTACTTTGGCAGTCGAAAACATTTGACAAATCGTCACAAGTTGAAGTTTCGAAGCACGGACTGTGGCCGGTAGTCATAGTGACCGGCAAACCGTGCAATGCGACCCGGCGCAAGTGCGCACTATAGTCCCCGTGGACACATCTGGACTGGAGGAGCTTTGGGGTGACAAGCAGCATTATCAGTATTTTGTCTATGTCGTTGGATAACATAGTGGTACCGCGATGTCAAGGTGAGTTTGTGCAAACCATATTGAGATGGACGAAAAGGATCTCATCAGAGCAGCGATATGCCGCTGGACGCTTGACTTCTGGCAAGCCATGTTTTGTGAAGGTTGTTCTTCATACTGGCACATCGCAGTTTGACCTGCCAGCAATTTCAGGAAGTAGCTCAGTTACCAACTTCACCATTGACTATTGGTAAGTGATCGGAAGTCCGTTTGAGTCTGCTGCGTAGTGTTCATAGATGCCGGGCCACTTAGTTATATCTGTCACATCCAAAGCGATTCTCCTTGAGCGCGAATGCACAGCCGCATTGCTACAGCTAAGATACGTCTTGTGCTTTCATCGAAACTGGAAAACGAGGTCCAGGTGACCATTTTCACGTGGATAGTGCCGAGGCATTTGTTTGCGAACGGCGTAGCTAAGCAGCCTAGGTTTGGTGCGAATCCCACAAAGATCACGTCACAGTACTTTCTGAGTTATGAACCAACTCTAATGTAACTAACCCCGCTAGCAGCTGTGCTACACTTGGTCTCAGCTGTCTAGATGCACCAAGAATGTTACCGATTGCCAGCTGGCTTGGATACATTGTTGTTGAACCGCGACTATTGCACTGTCGGAGGTTTCGGTGACCAACGCATGCGGACCGACACGGTACAGCATGACAACTTTATCTAATGCTTCTTTACCCGTTTCGAATGCTTTTTCCAGCCATAGTAGTCAACGTCCTCAGCCCTAGTTTGACCCAGTCATTTCGCAACAAAGGAGAGAAGACACGTTCCGTTTTAACTCTTTTTGGCCTGGGCCCACCTACACGGATTTGATTAAATTGCTTAAAGCAACCTAGTCTTCATGTCCCACACCTGTTTCATTATTCATGAACATTCGTTCTCTTCACTTCAAGATCCACATACTACACTCATTTGTTTTGGTGACAAATCCTGACCTATTTATAACCTAATCTTAGTGCCATG